TTTTTTTCTGCCTACATTTCTGTTGTTGTCTTTTTTTATATAAATCTCGATTTTCTCTCTGTAATACTCTCTCTCTCTCTCTCTCTCTCTCTCTCTTCATACACTCATATATATCTTTTTCCTGCGTGTATTTCTCATCTTTCTCTAAACGTTTCGCTGTCTACTTTCATCTTTAACCCTTCTACTTTGAAATCCAACCAAATGTTTTGCAGTGTACTACATGTCTTGTTGAGTTGTTGTTGTTGCTGAGTTCACTGGACTTCAAAGCAATCTTCTCATATCGTCGATTGTTTTTTGTACTAAATATGCATGTTATTTCCATATATTTATATAGAGGTATGTAATATGTAGTGCTCACAAAAACTCATTAGCATATTTTAACCCGTTTACTTACTTCTTTCTTTCTTTCGAAAATTCATATATTTCCATGCAAATATGGATGTGTGTCTGTGAATTCCCAAGAATCTTAACCCTCCACAATGTTAGGGTCGTATTTGATTAGTCAAAAGCTTGTTAAGAAAATTCGTATGCTTTAATTTGCATATAGTGCTGAGCAATTTGTAAAATTCTCACAGCCCCTCTCCAACATAGTTAACTATGTAAGAAAGACACTAAGAAACTTATCTTTTACAATTTTCTAAATATGCACAAAACTTGTATAGTTCTTAGACATTATGTAACGGTTCGTTGGATCAGCAGATTTTTATCTAATCTTTTTTTTTTTTTTGTAGCTCTGCTCGTTTGCTCTCTTATAATTTATGATTTGTATTTGTGCGATGATTGTGCGTTTGTTCGTGGTGTGTTCGTTTCTGGTGAGGAGATTTTTGTACAACAAAATTTGTTCTAAGTATTCTATGCTAATGAAAGCCTTCTAGGTAAATAAGACGTATGTATAACTATTTCAAATTACGCTGATAACTATGGTGCTCAAGCGCTCTTTGCTAGGCTATAAGACTATAAGGATTTTGTAAGTGACTTTGTGACGCTTGACTTTTGGTTTTTGTACAATAATTTTTTTTTTTTTTGTGCTTTTAATGCTTTTGAGTGGCATTTTAGTTTGTTGAAATAGTTTGTGGCATAAAAAAAATTTTACAGTTTCAAATTTACATAGATATATTTATACAATATATGCTAGTGAATACAAACCCTTGTAAATATATATGTAGCTGTGCAGCGCGTACAATTGTAAATCCAATCAAAACGGTATTTACATTGTCTGTTATAATAAATGCAAATTGTGTGCGGCGAACTTGCGAAAAGTCTAAGACAAAGTTGGAAATTGAAAAAGTAAATTGGCTTTCATTTTATGCCAGAATTGAAACTTTGATAAATTCTCGGCAATAAAAATGCCATTAGCAAATGTTGGCTTGAGCTCGTATTTCTCTTTTTAAATTATGAAAGAAATAATATACAATTTTTTTTTCAAAATCTCAAATAGCTGTTTCATTCATATTTCCATGCAATTATTCAAATGTAATATTTCAGAAATACATTTTATGCCGTGAAAACACAAAAATTATATGCACAAAATGTTAAACGAAATTTAACTTAACACATTTTAATTAAGTTTAAAAGTGATTTATTCGCGAATTAAATTTTCGTGTCATTTTAAAAGCGCATAATTTGGCAAGTGAATTATTTTAAATTGCGCCGCTAAATAATTAAATGTGCAATTAGGCATAAATTTTCAATTTGGTGCTGCCAGATGTACGAAAAAATGTTAAACGCTTAATTTTTTTATGTTTTCATTTTATTTTTTGATTAACTTAAAATAGTTTGCGTAATTTCATTACAATTTACACGAAGAAAATTAGTACAAAAACAAGTAAGGTGGGCTAAATTCGGTTGCAGCCGAATATTTTATATATTAATATCAAAAAAAAAAAACCAAAAATATTTCCAGTTATCAGCAAGACTTAATAATAAAATAGTTTTTATAAGTATTAGATATTCTGTATTATTCAAAATTGCCAACGGATTGATCTCAATGTTACTTCTTATATCGTATTAGCTTTTATTATAGGTCTTAGTGTCATGCTCTGAACCCCTAAGGCTTTAGCATATTTTTAGAACTCAAAGAAGTTTTCACTGGAACGTAATTAAGCGATAGTGTGAGACTGAAAAAGTCAGGCAAATAGCAATAACCGATATGTCAACCGCAATGACACGAAGCTTTCAGAATGCCTGGCATATCCGGCCTTATATTCAAAATAGCTACTTAAAATTGACTTGACTTTACAGGAGATATTTTTACCAAAGAGATAGGTATTTCCGTCGCTTGAATGTGTATGGGTTTAATTGTGTAATGTAATTGTATAATCGGAGATTCATTTTACAAAATTTTTGATTCCCTTGCTACCGATTGACTTTATGTGTGGAATAAGTTGTAAATGTGTTATCTTAAATCAAATGTAAATACATTTGAAAATAGCTTTCGAAACTTTGAAGTTGATCCGGCAAATAGTTTCGAAAATGTATTTGTAAGAATTTTTTAACTTAGTGTAATCGGCTGCCAAACTGCTTTGATAAATGACTTGAAATGATCACAAGAACTTTTTTGATATATTTTGTCAGGTAATGATCGTAGGACGGTAGGAAGACCTATTTTATACAATTTCTCAACCAAACCACACCGCGATCAGGAAAACATATATGTCAAATATCTCTAATGCGGATTGGTATGTACGGTACAATATTAAGTGGAGAGATGGAGACCCTTATATTCGGCATACGGGATTTATGAAAGGCTTAGTAGATTTTTTTTATTTATTTTCGACAAATTTTCGGATAAAAGTTGCTAAATATTAAGCTGATAAGTTGTGATAAGTTATTATTTGATATCTTTATTAACGCTTGAGCCATATATACACTAAGTTATAAGAAGCTATCATAATTCAAAATGGCGTTCTGTGAGGGATGGTAGTGATTCCAGCTCAAATTCATTTATTTAAAAGCCGTATGGGAGGAATGTAATGAAAATACACCGTATCAAAATTAGTTTGGATTAATTATATCAGAATTTTTGAAGTTATAAAAGTTAAGTTATTTGAGTACGTCACGCCTGTTATGATTTGACAGATCCAAATCAAAGTCTATTGTATTTTCCTCGTATTTAAATTTGAGCTACGAGGGTATAAAAGTTACTAGAAATTAAAATAAAATAAACTACTCAAAAAATATTAATAAGAGCTACTATATATTTACATAATTAACTTATGTATATATATTTATATATAAAATATTTTTTATTCACTGTCAATAGCCACACAAATTCAATTGACTAACCACTAAAATGTCAATTACAATATGCATTATGTCCATGCAACAGCGACATTAACGCTAAAACGCACCGAAACACAACAACAATTGTAAAAAAAAATAAAATAATAGGAATTTCAAACAGTTAATTACATACGATTTAATTGTCAATATTAATTACGTGCTAATTTTTAGTAGCTACGTAATGAATGCCAATGCGATTGTAGATACAAAAACGAAAGCGTTGATGATTATATTATATGTGAAGCATATATGTATTTATATATAAGAATTTGCAAACAATTGCTAATATAGTTACAATAACACAATTAATATATAAATGTTTGAAAATGAGCTTAAACAAATGAACAGTGTTGAGGAAAAAAATAGCAGTTGTAATTTCAGAATACACTTTTAATTTTATTTTCAAGCACTATATGAAAATTGTGATGAAATTTGTAACACCCAGAAGGAAATGTCGGAGTCATATTAAATATATGTACATAAAAATGATCAGTATGACAGAATCAAATTCTTGTATGGAAAACTTTTTTATGTGACGAGACGTCTTCGCGAAATTTGGCATGAACTATTTCCTTAAGTAACTGTGAAATATTAAAAAAAAAATATTTAGTTCGGATCACTATAGCATATATATACTTGTGTATATGCTGCCCTACAAGCTGATAGATCAAAATCCATTCCTTGTATAGAAATAGTTTTCATTTGACGAGATATCTTCACGTAATTTGGCATGAATTATTTTCTAAGGCAACGCTACAATCTCCAATGAAATTGTTCAGATCGGATCACTATAGCATATAGCTGTCATACAAACTGATAGAACAAAATCCATGCCCTATATAGAAAACTTTTGTTTTTGACAAGATATCTTCAGGCAATTTGGCTTGGATTTTTGCCCACCGTAAAGGTACAATATCCAAACAATTTGTTCAGAACGGACCACTTTAGCATATAGCTGTCACACAAACTGGCTGATCTAATTCATGTTTTTATATGTAATATTTTGTTTTTGCGAAGGTTAAAGGGTTAAATCAAAAAATTCTCACCAAATTTCACACGCATTGCTAATATTTTGCACAACAGTGTAATTTTTTATTGAAATTGTTTATGTGACCGCTAAAATAATTTGAGATTGATGATTAAGTACATTTTGAAGTGAGAAAAAAATTCCATTGCGTGCAATTAGTTAGGCCATAATTGTCGGCTGTCATTCTGCAGATTTCCAATAAGATAAATAATTTTATTAATACCAACAAACTAATTATTGTTAGAACTATAATAGTTGTAGAGTGTTAAAAGATATAAAAAACGAAATTGGTAAGTTAATTTGCTGTTAATTTGCGAAAATTTGGCACGAAAATTGATTTTCTCTTATTTGACGTTCTCTTCCTGTCTGTTTCTAACTAAAATAAAGCCTGTGCTCAGATCTCTTTTCTCTCGTCACTTGTTCGATAGTTAGAGATATCTTTGTACTCCTTACATTCAAGGTTATACCAATTTCCTAAGAAATTGTTTAATAGAGTTACCATATTTATGGCTGACAGTGGCCTTAAATGCCTCGATTGCATTAACTAACATTTAGGCTGCGACCTTACGCATGCATCGTTATGGCTTCTGTTTGAAGTTCTCTCCTAAGTTATGAGAAATCTGTATGTCTAATATAAGTTTGAATTCCTTTACTGATTCCAAATTTTTTTTTCAATTTTTTTATGTATTAAAAGGTATGCAGAGGGACTTAGGGGGTTACATGGGTTTCACGGCTTCAAAAAATCGATTTTTTTATTGTCTTTTTTCACTCTATAACGTCTCTAGAATATTAGCCTAATTGCTCTAGTTGATCCGAGTAATAGTTTTGGTGATACAGATTAAAAGCGTTTTTCTGAAATCTGTGCTTTCAAAATCGGCTGTCAAGATTTCTTCCGAACCAATCAACCAATTTTTATAAAATGTTACGCAAAACTTCGAGATATAATTTACAAGGTCTTGAACGAAGCATTTTTTTTCTTTTTGTTCAGTTACAACACACACTCTCGAAATATTTTTATATATAAATCTTTGGAATAATAAAACATTTGAACAAAATTTTTTATTTTTTATTTGAAAAAAAAAACTATTGAAAATATGCCTTTTTTTGATCGAGGAAACCCAGTAACCTCTTAAATCGAAGTGTCATGCGTACAAACTCTGCTCTTCTCTCTTTCATTTCTTTCGTATACTTTATAAAGAGGTGTGGAATTCGCGCGCTCAAATTCATTTTTCCGGTCTTACAAGTATAATTTGAAATTTCATAAGCTCTCATAATTTTTCATAAGTTATAGATACAGGGCTAGAATACCAGATTTATAAGCTCTATAAATTTTATATTTTTCGTATGTTATAAATAGAGAATTGGAAGTAAAGTGGCGAGCTTTTTAGAATAGTTGCTCAATTTTTCTAAGGTATAGATCAAAAGTCATATCACCGGTAGTTGGCGCTAAGCTCATAAAGTTTATAAAGCTCATATTTATAGCACAATTTGCTTCAAACTTGAAAAGTAAAAAATATATATAAAGGAATTTGTTTCGAAAGAGGAACTAAAGACAAATTTCTTGAATACTCATAGTTAGAAATTTTTCGCGACAGAAAATAGCGATTTCTGCAATAAAATGAATACAAGTCGCCTGTTTGATTTGAGTTTATGTATTCTAGTCAATTCTCATAAAAAAAAAATAAACAAAACCAATGTAAATGTAGAGATGACCTTACAGCGAAATTTATTACACGATTATGACACAACGCTAAAAATTTTCCATTAAACCACTAATTCGACTGTGGCATCACGCCATTCATTGCATGCGATTTTCTTGTCGCTTCCTTATCTATTGAGATTTGATTCGTTCGATTAGAGTGGAGTATGTAAATTGCGATGCGTTGCATGCAACTGACGAGGACGCTCGTTAATATCATACGGCACTATAAATTGTGCAACAAAGCGCACGACTGGTTGCATTCAACAAATCACATTGTAAACACGCTTAACGCCAACGCGGTGAACACAAAATCGCAATTTCTTCAACGCCAAGACAATAATTCGCATACGTACCGTAAGTTGGAACAAGGATACGTATGAGTTTTTAATATTTCGAATTTGCCTGCCGTTTTATGCGTTTACTTTTTTTTTTGCTTTTAGAAGATTCTTCTTAAAAGCGCAAAACTGTGAAGTTTTTATTGTCGCAACAATGAAAGCATTCGCGAATTTGTGCATTGCCATCGCAGTGATTTCGATTATTGCTTGCCTCGATGGCGCTGAAGGATATACCAGGCGCGGCGGTGCGCGCGGCTTCCGGCAGGACGATGTGCCGCAAGAGTTCAACTCAAGGGTATGCGCTTAGAAACTATTTTGAAATTTTTTTTTCGTTTTAAAATATATTATTACTTTGCGGTAGGCACGTCGCGCCGCAGCGGACGAAGCTCCAGAAGATGCGCCGCAAGCACTCAGGCAGAGGGTAAATACATTTTGACTTGTAAGATAATTATATAACTGTATCTCTTTCAAATACCATATTATTTTTCAGTTCCGTCGCGCTGCTGAAAAATCTCGGGATGACGTACCTGGAGAGGCGCCGCAGGAGCTCAACGCAAGGGTATGTGGTTAGCGATATTGTGTAATTGTTTTTGTTTAGTAATATATATACTTTTAGGCACGTCGCGCCGCAGACGAAGTACCCGAAGATGCGCCACAAGGACTAAACGAGAGAGTGAGTATATTTGTTAGCTTGCAGAACAATTTCTTTTATAATATCAAATACTATTTGCTAGTTCCGTCGCGATGCTGTAAAAACTGTGGATGATGCACCTGGCGAAGTGCCACAAGAGCTGGACCAGCATGATAGGGTAAATATTTTGTCGCAGACGAACAGGTTTCTCGACACCCTTACATTATTACAATTAACAGTTAGTTAAACAAAACTGTAGGCAATATGTTCTTAGCTAATACATATACATATATATCATTTGTTACTTCCTATATTTTAAAGTTCCGTCGGTCCCCAAAAACAATGCCTGATGAAGTACCAAAAGATGCACCGCAAGAACTGTATCACCTAAGCGACCGAGTAAGTGGAAATAAGCTTTATATTTGATTTATTTAATATATTCTTGGTTTGAGAAGCTATATAGACTCTTATTCTAAAAAAAAAAATGTTTACAGCAACGTCGCTCACCACAAATGCCGCCAATGCCTCCAATGCCACCACAAATGCCTAGCCCGGATGGCATACCAATGCCACCACCACCACCGATGCAATCTTAAAGGCGTTATTCGAGGGTAAGCTAAAGAAAAAACTGTGAGTTCCGTTAAGTAAACACGAGTGAGTTCTTATTTGAAAGAAAATGTGATGCAGAAAAATCCGTTTCTTGATTTATAACAAATAAAATTACTTGACGCTGAAGTCGCTTCACTTTATGTGCCTTTTCTCCAACTAAAGTATGGTGATTTAAGATGTTGCCTACATTTAGGCGCATGTATATAAAACCGTCACTAAAATAGCATATAGTCATGAAAAACTTTACTTTCAGGTATACAGATATCTTTTGACAACAAATTTGCTAATACACGAAAATTTTACGAGAGACAGAGAGCAGCCGAATGATTTAAAAACTTTGTATAATATTAATAAAAAATTGTTACTTGCATTGCTTTAAGTCTGTGTCTTTATTTTATACGAGTACATCATGCTATTATCTGAGACTCACGCTTGGTTCTCTTACAATGAAATAAATAAGCTAATCAACGTAGCAAGTTGTCTAACAACTTTGGGACTCAAACTCATATTTAAGAGTTTAGCAGTGCTCTAGTGTAGGCATCTAATTTAAATTCTGTGGCAAAAAGTTTAAGTTCTGGAGTTCATAAAAGAGTTTGTTAAGCTTACAGTGGCAATACAAGGTTACCCTGTTAAGTTAGCAGGTACATGTATATCGTAGAGACATTTAGCATTGCTTATATTGTATTCTAAGGGTATATAAATCTCAAAATATTAAACGAATTTTAAAATTTACTGCTTATCATAAAATGCAACGGAGCGCCCTCTATCGGTGAGATCATCGAAAGTGTGAAAAATAATATTTTAAAGTTATTTTCGATAGTAATAACTCGAAATTCATCTTCACACAAGTAAACGAGTTCATTTTAAGTAAATATTAAGCTTCACTTTGTAGCAACAAAAAAATATTAATAACAAATTGGAGTTACTTTATTTATTTCTGCTCTCAAACATAAATATATTACCAAATATTATTTATGACCATTGGTTTACATATTTATGTTTACAGTTTTCACAGAGCAACAAAAGCACAATCTCTTTGCAAATTCCATAATTTTAGGCCTCAACACACTCGTATAAGAAAAATATAATCAAATTAAATGAAATCACCCTGAAAAAAACTTTGCCAATAGTATAAAATGTAAGCACACTAAACAGCAATATTAACAACAACAGAAGAGTGCCTAGAAAAAGTCATGCTCATAATAATTTTACATGCCATTTGACTAAGTGTTCATAACGTTCATCGCTTTCTAAAATTTTTTTTTTTATATTTTTCTCACACACTCCACTCTCTCACCTCTCCTTTCAAATCTTCCCGTTTGATGCGAAGAGTTTAATAAATATTGTATACGCCTATTGCCTCTCTGTGTGTGTTCGCCTGTAAAAGTGTGTGTTTGAAAATGCAAATGTAAGTAAAATAAATATAAATACAAATGGCATAAACAAACCCTTTTACGATTTGTTTTCCAATAAATTACACATGTAGCTTCAGATTTTCGGCCTGCTCCAACACGCTTTAGCCCTCACCAGTTGGCCTTTAAACATTTTTGTGTGTTTTCAGCATAGTTTTACTTCTACTCTTTTGACTATTTTAATATTTTAATGTGAGTACGGAGTCACAAATGCTTTTTATGTTAATATGCATATATGTATGTAATTTTATTTATAAAAGAGTTATTTATATGTATCAAAAAATAATAATTTAAACGTCGATTAATTAATTAGACACAAAAATCGATAAAGCAAACTTAAGTTTTTGAAATGAAAAATTTTAACAATTTTTTCTCCAAACGTAACAATCGAAAGAAATTTGTTAAACAAAAAGTATGTCATCGATAAATACGATAAATCAAAGTCGATAAACTACTCTTAAGTAATTGAAACGTTTTTTTAAAATATTTGGTTAAGTCGATAAATTAATTCTATATTAAAATCGATAAACTAATCTAAAGTAATCGAAATAATATATTTTTACCCATTTTTAAGAATACTCTAAATTTAACTATCGAAAAAGTTGTAAATTAACAATATTAACTCTCTTAAAACAATCCATCGCCGTAAAAATAATCGATAAAGTCGCAATTTTATTATATTTTATATATATGTATGAGAAGTTATGGAAATCGATTATCAATCAGTCGACGTGTAAACCCAGCTGTCACAATCCAATAAAAAAAGTAACACTTTTATAAGTTTTGCACCATGCCTTATATAATATATGGTGTAGATATATGAGAAGTTGTCTTCCAGAAAAGATATATTTATAATTCTGAATCTTCTTTGTGACATACAAGTGATCGATTGATAGAAGAAGATAGTAGTTCGGCGAGACTTATGGTGACATAGGCATTGCTTAGGGGACTTAAATATGTTATTTTTATCGAGCAAAACTCGGTTACACTGGCTCTTGTGGACACAGCTCGAATTTCTGCTGACTTTAGTTTCGACTCCAATAAGAGATACTAATCATCGAGCTACGCTTCAAAGATTTGGTTTAGAGCGCAAATTGTAGATCTTTATTAAAGTTAAAATAATCTAATAGTCCAATAAATATTTCTTCAGCGTATTTCAAGCCGATATAACTCACTTATTCGGATATTTTCGAAAAGTTTCTGAAAATCATGCCTGAAAATTGATTTTATTAGGGCGAAAATGGACTAGAATCTTCTGATATTTATGGCTTGATTAGAACTGCAAATATATGTAAGAAAATTTCAATAATGTTTTGTTTAAGAGAGACAAAAGTTACAGGTGCTGTTGAGAGTTCGTGGATAAAGTGGAAAATTTTAACTAGTTTTTTATAAAATAGGGTCAAATTTTAGCGGTCTCTTGAGCGTTAGTGGGTTAAAGTGTGTTAGAAGATTAATCTCTATAATTTTCTCAAAGAGTATTACTATTAAGGCACTTTTGTGCTAAATATAATACGTTGAATGGGTTTGAGATATACCCATATTCGTCTAATATCACACTCACCGATTCAGAAAAATAGAAGAATAGCCTGGTATAGAAATCTACTACATGCATTAACAACAAACATGCAAGCTTACTGTTATCTCCAAACAATTTGCATGGGCAACTTTTCCCAGTTGAACTAAATAATCGCAAATATGAAGCATGAATTGACAATTTGCGAACAACAAAAACGAACAATCAAATACCCCATTGGCAACAAACTTAATTGGGTTCTCGAAATTGCGCACTATTTCGCCAAAACGGATCAAAAGGTGACATTTTGAACTTGCCACTACGCAACAAAACCAATCAATGTGACACAAAATGACAGCTGTGTAGCGTATATGCAGAGAAATAGAGTGGTGTGAGAGAGAACGCAGTGTGAGTGGCGGCTTAGATAAAGTTAAACTGCGCTTAACGCACCGAGCACCGTTATAATCACTATCGCCATAAAGGTAATTGTATTTACGGGGTTACAAGCGACGCGCAATATTCAGCAAACACGCACATGTATGCGTGTAGACACACACACTCGTGCGTACACACATACAAAGCGGAGCGCAGGTAGATAAGCGCCGCTGATTCAACTATTAAACGAAATTTGTAGTTGTTATTGACAGTGATAAGTAGTTGCAAGCCGTTAACCGCATTAATGATGAAGCTACAGGCTTGTTCTTGTTGTATTTGGTTGTTAGTTGTTGTGATTTGTTGTTTTTTGTTGCCATTTGCAACGCACTCCTGCCATAGCGATAACTTTTACAACTTTTTGACGTAATAATCTCCGGTTGGCGCTGCGCAAAGCTGTGACCCTTCACGGCAACAACAACAAGCAATAGCAACAACAAGCAGATTTTACAGCTACTCTAACTGTTTGTTGGCCACCTCTCCATGCATTCATTCATTTACTCAGCTTGCCTATCCATCGCCACAGTTACGCCGTGTCATCGAAATTGAAACGGTTTTAACGAGTTCGGCTTTACGGGCCAACCGACCTGCCTTACAAGGGTTCGCAAGTCACGGCGCGTGTGAGCGCGTCAATTGTAATGATGCTGATGGCGTTGCTTGGGCGTGTTGATACGAAGAAAGCGCTACATTTCGAGTTACTTTTGCAGGCGCGTCAGTTTCGTTAGCGACGCGGTGTGGCGCGCGGCATAGCGCGACGCTTGCGAACCCCGCGTTTACATGACAAGTCGAGGTTGAGGTGTATAAATGACTTTCGGCATCATTTGGCGGATGTTGTTGATGTTTGCTTTTATGGCCAGAGCTTAAACGAAGTAGCGGTATTAATAATAACAACTGCAATAACAACAATAACAGCTGCAACAACAACCACTACAACAACATTTATACTGAACTGACACAATAAATATGACATGTCGTCGCTGGCGAACCTTTGCGCCGCCTTTGTCCTCTCTCTCTCTCTCTCTAACCTCGCCGCTCACCCTACACAGTAACAACAATAAGCTTTGCTCTGTTCTGCTGTTTATGGCATACACCGTTAGCTGTGTGATTCTTTGGCTCCTCATTAATATTTCGTGTTTATTGTGCAATATCCACAGCCAATATACTGACAATATGAGACAACAAACACACACACATATACATTGCGAGCCAACCTTCGCTTTGTGAGTTTTGACACGTCCACTTACCTACTCCTTCAACTATAGTAGACAAATATTGTCACTCTACCACAGCTGCGCTCACTGGGGCGCTGACAAGCGCGCACAAGTGGTTGACCATGTTTTGGTTTTATGCTTCGATAATCTTCGTCTCCACAGCGATGATGTAACTAATGACATTGTTTGGATGTTTGTGTGTGTGTTGCTGTGTAATGAGTTTGGTTGCTGATGAACACTGCGAGCATTATGATAGATCCTATTATACTGATAGTTATTAGCCTGTGCAAAGGTGTTGTTAATGTGCGGCCATTTGGTACGTGCGTATGTATGTGTGGGTATGGTTGACGAAGTAAAGGCAGGTGGTAAGCCAATAAATATCTACGAATATATAGGTATGTGTGACATTATGTGCCTTTATGGCTTAGAGCCCGTCCATAGTCATAAAAATTGCATATGGTAAAGATATAATATAATATTTAATACACTATGTAACGAAATCTTTTTTTTTTTAACCGCTAATTTCCCGTATTAGCATAACCACCCATACAGAAATATTCCTATAAGTATTCTATTTCAGTAACCCAAAAATGGTTACATTATGCAACAAATTTTTTTCAACCAAAAATATTTTTTTGTTCGAGTACTCAAAAATAGCTTAAACAAATCAAATCATGTTTCTTACCATATATAAGAAACATTGAAAAGATGCATGTACATACATACATATGTACATATGTATATTCATTACACCATATAACAAAAATGTTTCGATGTACTAATTTATTTAAATATCTTGAAAATATACAAT